CATTTCATCACATTTCCTCTCCTGAGAGGTGACATTTCCGGACTGAGCCAAAGAATTGTTTAATATAATTTATATCAGTTGATTAAGTGCTCTGTAAGGAAAGACAAACTATTATTAAGAATGTATAAAATTGCCCCCCCTAATGCTAGCTTAAACCGGAACTCTAGCCATTTTATGGGGGAGAGAGGGAAGAGCTTGGGTAGCTGGGCAAAAATTTTCTACATGGCAATTAGATAACAAATATATCTATTTAGAAGGTAAAATACTGCAGAGTGGAAACTTCAAATGTGGCAAGCAATTTAAGTAAGGTGAAGAGAGTACTTGGCCTAACACACTGTTCAAAACCAAGGTGAGGACAATATCTGCCACGTCAGAGCAACATCTGGCACATTAGGAGCACTATTGAATATGACCATTTTAATTGTATTACTACCAAAAACCTGACAGTTAAAAATCACCTGATGAAAGCAACACTGGTAGTATCCAACACTTAACTCCCACTTAAATATTGCTATGATGGTAGAACAAAAACTCGGCCTGTACTGAGGCACTGACACAAAACGCATTGGCAGCAGAAATTCTTTTGGAATAGAAACAGAATATAACACTATCTGTTTTGTTGGTTTTTTTAACGAAAAAAAAAAAATCCTCTCATAATGATTCTGGTCTGACTTAAACTGTGCCCTCGAAAAAAAAACTTTGTAGAAGGCAGATGAAATTGTGAAAATTTTAAGTATTTTATAATGTTCTTTCAAAATTACCCTGAAAATCTCAATCTAAATGTAACGAGGCAACATTCTGAGATGATACTCATATACAGCACCATATTCTAGGATACTTAAATAACAGTTACACAGAACATGAAGAGAACAGAAAGTATTAATTTATATGAACTTATTGTAACATTCAAGTCAGTCACATCACAGATCCATCAACCAACCCCTAGAAGTTTTTATTCCTTGATTTCCTGGAAAAAGCACATCTCGGTGGCACATATCTCTGGGACAGGCACTTCTGACAGATCCATCAGCTGAATCATAATTCAAGTGATTTTATTTATTTATTTATCCCAGGTAACATGACAAACCTGTCACTAGAGATGACAACTTCCAAGCACAAATTTACAGTGCCAAGACCTGATTTGTGCAGTGAAGTGAATAAACTTTTAGAAGACTACCAGCTGGTATCCAACTCTGGATGAAAGGGGGAAGTCTAAAAACAAAAGTGACTCTGTATCTCATGGGACTGATAAACAACACCTAATAATCATACCAATAGCAAATAAAATGTTGCATTCCAACTTTAACATCATAAGCTTTTCAATTCTCCTTTTCATTTGCTCAACATATTTTCAAACAAATTAATCTGGAGAATCCATCTTCTAAATTTGGTCTCTGTGAAGGAGTGAAGAAGTTTTTCCTAATCTTCAGAAGAACTTATCTTCCTGGTTTGAAGCTTTTTGTGCAGTTGGGTTAGCCACATGCTTTCGTCAACAAAAGAACCTCACCCAGAATCCAACAATATCTGAACAGATGATGCTCCACTTGCAGTAAAAGAAAAAAATAGTACTGCCATCAAGAGCAATGGTACTTGGAATGCACCATCTTCCTGTTTCCTAACATAAGCAGAACAGGCACATTCATTTAACTAAGAGAAGAAATATGCATTGAGCCTGGATCTTACAGTCCTTACTCATGCTACTAATTCCTCACTGAAAAAAATAATTAGGATTAATTAATTCTGCTGATGTACAAATGATGCAGAACAGATCTCTAGCCATTCAACAACCCTAAATAAATCTGGCACTGAGTTATAACCTTGCCTCTTCTCCATCTTGCCCTCTCACCATGCTCTCACCACTGACTACACTAAAGATTTACATTTTATGGATTCTTTAAAAAATAAAATTCTGAAGTTGTCAGTTAATTATCTTCTACCACAACCTTTGACTAAATACGTCTAGATAACACACCACAGCCCATCCACTTAGAATCACGGAATTGCTGATGCTGGAAAGGGCCTCTGGAAATCCTCTAGACTAACCCCTCTGCTCAGAGCAGGGGTAGATACAGAAGGTTGCCCAGGACTCTGTCCAGCTGGGTTTTAAATCTCTCCAAGGATGCAAACTCCACAACTTTCCAGTGCAACCTCTCCAGCAACTGACCACCTCCACAGGAAAAAAGTTTTTTCTTGTATTTAAATGGAATTTCTTGTATTTCAATTTGTGCCCATTTCCTCTTGCCCTGACACCAGATACCACCGATAAAAGTTTGGCTTTGTCCTCTTTACATCCTCCCATCAGGTATTTGTATGCATTGGTAAATTCCCCCTGAGTCTTCTCTTCTCTAGGCTGAACAGTCCCAGTTCATTCCTTCCTTTTTAATTTATCTTCTTTTTCAAGTTTACACTATCATGGCAGCAGCCAATAAAAGATAATATAAAAAGGGAACATGTTTCATTTCTAATATTAGTAAAACTGAAACATTCAAAAAATGGAAGTTCAGACAGTTATATCACTACCTTATTTGTATATATGAAACACAGCACAACTAATGAATTAAAGATTAATGCCAGGTTTACAAGAGGATGAGAGCATCAGCTACTGCTTTTCAGGGATCTAAAGAAAAAAAAAAGACTTTGGAAAATGTGCACAAAGACTGTATATATAACTATGCTTCTAAAGACCCATGATTCCTTATAAATGGAGTATCCATATACCGCTGAAAGAATGCACATATACATGATTTACAGACTTAGGATATTATTTTAGGATTTTATAGTATCATAGACTATCACATATTATCATAGATTACAAAGTCTTTTATCAGTTTTACAATGTTTACAAAGATGATGAACTTGCATCAAATGAGAGGGAGAATATGGATTCATTTACCCAACTCTTCACACTCTGGGAGATTTTATAAATTAACATTATCATAAAAACACATGGACTGAGCTAGAAATGAGAATCAGCCTTGAACTGCTTTAAGTGCTTCTCTCCTTTTTTCTATGCTGTCAAGTCCTCTGCAAAGAAAGCTCTGTGAATCCAGGTTCACAGAAAAGTTTAAGGTTGATATGAAGCAACAAGGATGTGTGGTAATGTCTGTGTTCCCCTAAGGCATTAGCAGGGTTTGAACAACTAGCCACTACTTCCATAGAGATAAACCTAACTCTCTTGAGCAAAACTTACAATGAACTTTGTGAGAGGATCATAATACATTCTTCTATAACACCAAGACTCTCCAGAAATGAGCACAATCTGGTTTTAGAGAAACATCTTTGTGTGTATATATATGCATAAACATCCTCATGTACAAATAGAAGACATGAAATATATGATGTGGCAAAAGCTTTATTAGAAACAAGAAAGAAGGTGAAATGTTCCAAATCAAAGATGCATAATTTGAATTCATAAGCCTTATGTTTGCTTATTCTATGATTTTTTCTTTATTTAATAGTTTACTATTCATTTTTAAATTGAGATTACACTGCGGTCTATTTACATTCACAAAGAAGGCAGGTCTTCTCTGCATACAATGAAAAAACTTCAGGATTAAGTGAGGGGAAGCAGAACATTGAGTCAACTCCATATTCGCAACAGTTGAGCTGACAACAGAGAGAAAGAACTGGCTACTGGAAACAGTAGCCAAACACTTTCCAATATTGAATGGGCTAAGGGCCCTGATGTGACACACTTGTGCAAGCTCATTCCAAATGCAATAGCCCTGTGCTGAGCAGTATTTACAGAATCACAGAACTAATTTGGTTGGAAGAGACCTCTGGGATCATTGAGTCCAACCTTTGCCCTAATACCACCATGTCAACTAGACCATGGCAGAGTGACACATCCAGTCTTTTCTTAAGCACCTCCAGGGATCGGGACTCCACCACCTCCCTGGGCAGCCCATTCCAATGCCTAACCATCCCTTCTGTGAAGAAAGGCCTCCTCATTTCTAGCCTGAACTTCCCCTGGCACAGTTTCACATGATGCCCTCTTGTCCTATCACTGGCTGCCTGGGAGAAGAGGTTGACCCCCATCTCGCTACCCCCTCCTTTCAGGTCGTTGTAGAGAGCGATCAGGTCTCCCCTCAGCCTCCTCTTCTCCAGCCTAAACACCCCCAGCTCCCTCAGCTGCTCCCCATCAGACTTGTGCTCCAGACCCTTCACCACCTTCGTTGCCCTTCTCTGGACTCGCTCCAGCACCTCAAGGTCTTTCTTAAAGTGCGGGACCCACATTTATATACTGAATGAATACAGGTGTGTACTCCCTCCTATAGCCTCCCTATAAAACACATGCGCACATATAGAGCAATAGAGTAGCAAAGAAATTTCCCATCTTTATTCCTTTCCTCCTATGTAATGAAATAGATCTCCAGCTCTCGCTAAAAACTCATTCACAGTTCTCTCACATTCACACTTTTCGCCTTGGTAAAATAATGATCAATGCAGAGCTCTCAAGCATAAAAAAATTCTTCTGATTAGCAAAGTGAATTTCACATTACATTTCTGGAAAGCGGGATAAATTAAAGGTTTAAACACAACATACAGAAAGGAGAAATCAGCAAGCTATCATTTTGAGAATACAAACACGAATACAACATGCATACATCAGGGCTGGCTTTGAGTTTACATACGGGTGTGCAAAATGAGCAGTGTTTATTGCTGTAAAACAAGAAATTGGACTCCTTTCTTTCTGGCAAATGGTAATAGGAATATTTCATTATTTCCTAGTAGCTTTCTATCCCCTAGTCAGTACATGTATGTGCCTCTACATACTCATATTTGTGCACTTTTGCCTCACAGCAATTAAATGGAGTGGAAAATCGATGTCTAGAATGACCCTTCCTAAAATCAGTATCCTGTGACCTGAATGCAACAGTGGGAACTGCGAGGTGGGCAGTGCTGACAGACACTGCTGGTTTTCTGAGAACACTCCTCCCGAATGCCACACAGAATTTGGTGTAGCACTTCCATCCAGGTTCACCGTGCCCAGTACTTACGTGATGGTGTCAATCATATCCAGTCCCATTTCAACACAACAATGGGCATGATCTGTTTTGGGCTGGGTCAGTCCTGATACACAGTAGTAACAATCCCCTAGGATTTTTATTCTTCTGCAGTGGTTTTCCTTTAATAAAAGCAGAATGGGAAATGTTTTATTATTCATATAAATATTCCAATATTTACAGGATAAAATCTTCTCCAATACTATGCAGTCATTCAAGGAATCCTTTTGTCGTCAAATGAAGTGAACTACAGTTCATGAAATCGAGGTTCCCTGTACAGAACAGCTGACATACACATATTTGTTTCTTTCTTTATTTATAAACACACACATATATACTGGAGATCAGCCCCACATTGTTCAATACACATGGGGTAACACTGCTTAAAACTATAGTTCTGAACAAATCTTACTCCTTTGCCCTCACGTTAGGTCAGTACCAATTCAAGATTTGCAATGAGACTTCATTTTTGTATGAATCCAAACCACCACTGAATATCAAGAAATGTTTGTATTCTAAGAAGCTTTTGTTTCCTATCCAGTTCCAACTTACCAGGAAAGATGATGTATTTATCTGTAAAGGTACATTTGTTTGTGCATTACCAATTCATAAATTACAATTTACAATACAGCATGATCAATGTAAATATCTTGCAGATCAGAAGACACAGTCACTTTGTGTTACCATCAAATTTATCTCTTGTTTGCATACAGTTTAATTTCTACAGCCAAAGAGATCTGGTTAAATCTCTCCCATTTTGAAAAACCAATGATGACATCTGATGATTGCTACACTGGTCTGAGCAGAAAGTTCATTTCTAAGCAAAGAGCACATGACAAAATGTCTGTAACAAAGCAGTGCCTTTAACTAATAAACTATGAGGAGCCATGAAGAGATGATGGTATCCTTTGCAGCTAGACTATGGCAACTTCTACCCATTTAGAGAATGGGACAGAAAAGTAAATAACCTGATTAAATGAATCCAACTTACACAGCAGGGACTATGCCAGTAAGTGCCATGCAAAATTAGCTGTTGTGAATATGATGAGAGGAGATTAACAAAAACCTGATTCCTCCCACAGCAGTATGCTATATAGACTTGACTCCAGTGGCACAGAAAAGGAAAAAAACAAAACAAAACAAAACAACAAAAAGCAAGGGCAGTGGTGGGGGAATTTAAAATTTCTAGAAAAAAAGCATGTAATCATACTGGTTCAGCTTCTTATATAGGCGCATATTCTCATCTAGTGTCCTGCCTACAAGAATCAAAGCCTTCCTGAGTTGACCACGCTCTCCACATCATTACCCGTATTCCAGCTCAGAAGCGATGGTTATGCCTACAGCGATCCCTTTCTCTCGGACATGTCATACGCCAGCACTCGGGGCTTGTTATTATGTACTCTTCCAGCTTCAGGCATTCCCATGCCTGACTTCTTTGTAAATGTCTTCGAGTATTGAACAAATATTATATAATGAGATTTACTTCTGTTCAGGTATGGAAGAAGGCATGCTAACACTGTTTGGGAAAATTGGTTTGTCTACTCCTCTTTATAAATTAAGCAGGAAATTCAGATCTTGAATCAAAGAAAGAGAGCTATCTTGTTGGGTATGCTTAACAAGTAGAAAAGGCTTTTCTAAGAGTGAATAGTTAATATTTCTTCTGCTATACAGCAGGATTTTAAATATACCACTAATTATCATTGCTAATACATATTTTAATGAATGCAAGCATAATTATTCTAGCAGCATTATCCCTTAGAGTATTCCCACAGCCTATAGCCCCAAAATGCCTCACCAATTTTACTTGGAGTTTTAATTGGGTATTTTGAGATCCTTGGCTAAACGGTATTATAGAAATAAAATAATTATTGATGCACACAAAGTAATATGCAGACCTCAAAATCTATCCTGACACAAAATAGGTCTTCCAACTCAAGGTTTTTGGACAGAAACCACTAAGTTTTTTAATAGAAAGCACTAAGGTTTTTAGTAGAAACCACTAAATTATACAGCCAAAATAAGCCTTTTTTTTTTTTTTTTTTTAATAATTGTGGGAAAATCTTGAAGCAGTAGAGGATACTTAGTAGTTAAAGCTGGAATGTACTTTCCAAAATAAATCCAGTTTTGGCCCACACCTTACAATCCTCAATAAAGCCCTTTTCATCTTCACATTTGGTATGCAAGATTTGTGGCCAGGCAATGACTATTTGACCCAGCTGAAAGTTATTGAGAAAAACCATTTCAGTAATCTGGAGTCGACAATACGTATGTGTTAATTGCTCAGTGTTTTCTCCTATTCAGTCTCTACCTCCAAAAGGCTCATTTCTAATGACTGGTTTTCTTAAGCAGCTTATTGTGCTATACAGCAGTCCCGCGCATTTTGTAACGGGATATACAAAATTACTGCGCGTTTTGTAACGGGATACACAAAATTACTGTTGGACTGGCACAGCAGAGTCTAGCAGCCTGGAAGATAATTTAAGAAAGGAAAAAAAAAAACCAAAACCCGAACCAGAACAGAACTTGATCCATTACCACTTTTCTAAGTCAGTTTATTGCTTGTGCAGGAGAAAAATAAAAGAAAAAGAAAATAAGGACTACAGCATTTTTTAGAGAGATATAAATTTTGATGGAAGTCATACGGCTAAATCACCTGCTGTTTTTGGAACCACCACTCTGTTCCTTATCAGATGTTATCCTCACTGTCCTTATTTATAATAATCAATTAATGTACAGGAATCTCTAGAAAAATTGTTTGTTTTCTTTTTCTCAACATGTGAGGCAGACTTGCAGGAAGGAGACGCAGTGCAGCTTTGCAAGAGCCATCTTTTTAAGGATTGAGATGTAAATTAACAAACCCAACCCTTTCCCTCTCTTTGTTTTATTTCCTCAGCAACTTCCAAAGAAGCCCTTGACTCGGCAATATTTTTCACATTCGTGACAGCGATGAATTCAAGCATGATGGTTACAAATTCTAGTCACAGTTGATACAAGCAATGTCTGTTTAGAAACAGCTGATAATTTGGTTTTAGGCAGATGAGAAAAAGCACCAGAGATTGCTAGCACTGCATTAGCCAGGCAGCTTGCCCACCTGCGGTGCCTTAAAAAGACATTTCCAAGGGGATCTGCAGAATTCCCTCTGGCACAACTGTCAGTCACAGGGATTGTCACTGTAAAGTGGAAGCCCAGCTCGGAAAGCGGAGGATACTTCAAAGTCCATAAGAGGTTTTTTTACGCTTTCAGACAAGCACTTTATAAAGCAATTTATTTTTAAAAAATAATTTAAGATATTTTAAAACAAATTTTATTTTATCAATATTTTTATTATAATTA